TTTGTTTTAATTGGTGGTGAATTGAGTCCATTTACATTGATGGTTTTAATTGAGATGTATTGACTTATGATTGACATGTTATTTACCTGCTGTTGTTTACTCCTTTTTCTCCTGTGTTTAATTGTTTGCCCTATTTAGTGGGTTCCTTCTGTTCTCCTTCATGAAGTTCTGATCATTTTGGTCCCTCTCTAGAACATCTTTTAGTAGTCTATGTACGGTTAGCTTTGTCATGAAATTCTTTGTCATGGAAATACTTCACTTGTCCATCAAACTTGAAAGAGAGTTTTGCAGGGTATAGTAGTCTTGGCTCAAATTTGTTTTCATGGAGGACTTGCAGTATTGTGCTCCATGCTCTTCTTGACTTTATGGTTTGTGATTAGAAGTCTGCCATTATTCTCATAGGTTTTCTTTTACATGTGATCTCTTTCTTTTCTCTAGTGGCTTTCAGTATATTGTTCTTTTGCCAGATTTCTCGGATCTTGACTATTCTATATCTCAGTGTGTTTTTAGTTGGGTTGATGTTATTGGGAGTTCTGTATGCTTCGGTTACTGAATGTTACATTGTTTCCCCGTATTTGAGAAGTGTTCTGCTGTTACTTCTGCCCATATCTTTTTTATATCATTTGTATTGACTCCTTTCTCATTGATGCCTGTTAGTCTCACGTTGTTCATCTTTGCATCATCTTGCAGGTGTTGAATTATTATTTCTTGCATCCTCATTTTTTAAGAGATCTCTTCTTACCTTTTCACTAGCTGCAACGGTGTCTTCAAGATGTGAAACTATCTTCACTTTCGCTCAAAACAGTTTTGTGGGCCGGAGAGGTGGTTCAGTGGAATAAGCGCTTGCCTGGCCAGCTCAAGGGCCTGAGTTCAATCCCCCGTTCCAAAAAAAAACAGTTTTGCAAGCTTGTGCTTGAGATTTTAAGTTCCTCTGTATCTCACTGACTCTGCTTCATGCGATCTATTTCTTTCCTTTATTGCTCACTGAAGGATTCCATCATCTTTGTTATCTGGATTTTTTTTTTATCAGTGTCTTCTTGAGAAGTAGTTATTAATTCTTTCATTATAGTTATTCTTTTTTTACTTCAGAGATTATTTCTGATCTGATTTCCTATATATGTTTCTTCATTTGATTTTTTTAATTTAGATGCTGTTAATTCAGAGATTCCTGTTTTTATTTCAGAGGTTATTTCTGATCTGAGTTCCTCTATAGTATACCTTTCTGCAGTTGTTTTTTTACTTCAGATGTAATTGATTCAGACATTTGAGCTGTGTGATTCCCACTTCTGTGCTAGTGTCTTCTGCACTTGTTCTGGGTGGGCTCAGGGCCTGAGGTTGCATTTTTCTCCTTGTCTTTGTCATTTTGTATAGCACTGTCCTCTGACCTTTGGCGTAGAGCTTTGGTGCAGTTATAACCGTAGCACCTACTGAAATTCTTACCCGAGAGAGATTATATGGTTAAGGCAGTTACAGTTTTGTGTTTACAGACCAACAATAAGGAACACTAATTACGGCTGATGATATTTAGCAGATGACAAGCTTTTGTAACTAATGGCTTTGTATTTTAGACAGGAAGAGCAATCATGTCTGTGTAGCTAAGCAGGTATTAAATTAGGAATTTGTAGTTAAGTTAGTTCTGCTAAGTTCTGTCTGATCACCTCCCCTTGATGTACCTGGTGTTTTCCAGGCAGACTAGTTTGCCCTGGTTACCTTTTGTCCCCTCTCTGAGTCAAGAGAGCAAGAGGGAGGACGCTCTTATAGATCTGGGTCTAGCAAAGTGCCTCAGCTTACTGGGTGCAGATCTAGGAAGTTTGAATTCATCCAATTGTGCCTGGCTTGGGTCTGGCTGCTGTGGTCAGCTTCTTCCTGCTGCAGTCCGTGGAAGTGAACTTGTTGTGTCCCTCTGGCAAGATGTTCTGCTCCTGGATTAGGTGGGTGGTTCTGACCCCTAGCCTCTCTGCAGGGACTTCAGCTGCAGAGTTTCACACCAGCCTGTGTCTGGAGGGGTCCTGAGAGCATGGCGGAAATTCACTCTCAGAGGCCATCCCTGGCTTGGGCTGTTTCTGGAGGGGTTCCAAGGAGTCCCAAGAGCATGGCTGAAGATCTCACTCATAGGTCGGGCTTGGGTTGTGTCCAGAGTGATTCAGGGGGCTCGGGAGAAAATAGTGAAGTATTGTATGATTCTTCACTTATGTGAGGTACTTGGATTACTCAAATTCAGACAGAAAGAATAGTGTACACAAGTGGACAGTGGGAAGTTATTGTTGAATGAATATTGAGTTTAAGTTTGGCATAATCAAAACGTACCAGAGATCAGTCAATTTCAAAATCCATTGCATAGAAAAGATATGCTATTTGAATGTATTGGTTGCAGTAAAAATAAAGATATAGCATTTGGACAGAGAGAAAAATTTTAAATTTGAAAATAGTTCATTACAAGAAATAACAAGCATAATAGAACCTATGAAATTTAAATTTTATCAGATACAGCTATTGCTTTAAAGATATACCCATTTACCTTTTTTTCCATTTTAAAAAAAAATTTAAAGAGAATAAAAATAGTAAAAAAAATAAAAAATGACACAGAATTTCACTAAAAATAGTAGGAGCTCAACAGTGGTTCTTATATTGCATAATGTCTTCAAATTAGTTGTTTCCAGTTTACTTTTTAGCTAATATTTGAGTCCACCTATTTCCCCACATTACTGCCTTCATAGTGTTTTCCTGCATGTTTTGATCTTTAAGAATCTAAGGGATAAGACTTTCTTACACTGCTGCCTTTAATTTGTACTTCCTTTTTAACTAGTGAATCTCCATAGTTCTTATGTGTATGTCATTTATATTAAACAACTGTTCAGGGGCTAGGGAGATGGCTCAGTGGAGTAAGTGCTTCCCTGGCAAGCACAAGGACCTGAGTTCAGTCCCCAGTTCTGCAAAAAAAAACCTGTTCATTTCTTTGCCCCTACTTTAGTAGAGGGTAATCTTTACCTAATTGATGTTATAAACATTTACTTAAACGCATTTGTGTTCTTTCTCACTGTACACATATACACATATAGATAACATGTATTGGGTTCTTGCCATGTAAAGGAAGTGTCCACCTATTCTTTTTTTTTTTTTTTTTTTTTTTTGTGGAACCAGGGATTGAACTCAGGCCCTTGCGCTTGCCAGGGAAGCACTTATTCCACTGAGCCATCTCCCTGGCCCCTATT